CCAGAGCGAGCATGTCAATAATATAATTAAATCCGCTTTAAATAAAGGGCAAACAGTTATCAGTGACCGATATATAGACAGCATGTTTGTTTACCAAAATAAATTAGGGATTAAGAAAATTAGCGGGATTTTAGAACAAAGTATTGAAACACCACTTCCCGACATTACTTTTGTCTTAGATATTGAAGTTGAGAAAGCACAAAAAAGATTACAAAAAAGAACTAATAAAAATACCAATTGAGATAATTTAAGTTTAGAATTTCACCAAAAAATTAGAGAAGGTTATTTGGGATTAAAAGAACACTTTCCCAACCGAATACATATTGTTAATGCTGATCGAAAGGAAAAAGAAATATTTGAGGAAGTTTGAAAAATAATCGAAAAGAAATTGAGAAAAGACAATGAAGATTGAGATTTAGGAAAAAGGCAGTGTGGGATAAATGAAGAAGAGGATTGTGATAGCTGCCAGTAATCATTTTTAAAAAAACAAAATTATAAAATTCACGTATGCCAATCATTAATAACTCTAAAACTGATCCAAACAAAATTCTCCCCATGAAATATCTGTGGGCTCGCCAATACTATAAAGATGGAATTGCTAATAATTGGACACCAGAAGAAATTTCAATGCAGTTAGATGTGGAACAATGAAAATCTAATTCCGCATTAAGTTCACAAGAAAGAAGATTAATTTTGTGGAATCTAGGATTTTTCGCTACTGCTGAATCTTTGACAGCCAATAATCTAGTGCTAGCAGTTTATCGTCATGTCACTAATCCAGAATGTCGCCAATATCTTTTACGGCAATCCTTCGAAGAAGCAGTTCACACCGACACTTTTATTTATTGTTGTGATAGTTTAGGTTTAAACCCTGATGAAATTTACAATATGTATTTAACCATACCTTCTATTAAAGAAAAAGATGATTTTGTGGTTGAACTTACCAAATCCATTTTTGATCCTAATTTTTCTACTGAAGGAGAAGAAAATATTCGCCGCTTTTTGCATGATTTAATCGGTTATTACGTGATTATGGAAGGGATATTTTTTTATGCCGGTTTCGCGATGATGTTAGCCTTAAAAAGAGCCAATAAAATGGTAGGTATTGGGCAACAATTTGAGTATATTATGCGAGATGAGAGTTTACATTTAGCTTTTGGCTGTGATTTAATTAATAATATTAAAAAAGAAAACCCCCAAATCTGAACTTCCAAATTTCAAAATGAAGTTGTTGAATTAATTAAAAAATCTGTGGAATTAGAAAAACAATACGCGGTTGATGCTTGCCCGCAGGGAATAGTAGGTATTAATTCTCAACAGTTTTGCAAGTATGTAGAGTATATTGCTGACCGAAGATTAGAGCGAATTGATTTACCAAAAGTTTATCAAACTAATAATCCTTTTCCTTGGATGTCCCAGGCCACTGACTTAAATAAAGAAAAAAACTTTTTTGAAACTCGTCCTACCGAATATCAAACTGGTGGTCGTTTGGAATGAGATAAAGAGGATGACAATATGTATTCGGTTGGGAAAGTGTTCTTTTAATCCCAAATAACCTTCTCTAATTTTTTGGTGAAATTCTAAAC